TTGCTATTTGGTGGAAATGTGTCTAAGTAGCGGTTTGGTTCCTGGGTTCAGCACCCCATCAACTACAGTCAGTTTAAGACTAGGGACCCTATCTTAGCATCTTCTGTTTCCCTACCTATAGTCCCATAGACAGATAAACCCAACACACCTACTGTCTGTTCCTAACTCCTGGTACCCGGCGTGTATCTGATTAGAAATGTGTGCCACGGGGTTTCCCATGGCTGATTTTTTTCACAAGTAGATCACCAAGTGTTTCTTTTGAGATACCTCAAGCTGGACCTGAACCTGCAATCTTTCAGTAGCAGCCAAGGGAGTTAAAGGTTTGTACTTAGTAGGTTCTTCATAAGTGTTTGATGAATGAACAATGAGAGTTTTCGCCCTGCCCAACTGCTGGCTTGGGAGTAATCCTTTGGGGACAAGGAGGGCCAGTGGTGCGAGGGTCAGCATAAGATAGCCACACAGAGAGGCTTCCTGTGCACTTTGTTTCTCAGACCAGTCATCAGGACTGAGGTTCCTTTTAAGCCTGCAGTTTTCTATAGCTTTCCCGGAAGCTGCTGTTCCTGCCTTGGTTCCCTGCCTAGGGTTTGGGGGATTTGGAGACTAGAATTTTTGCTTCATTACCATCCTGCAGGGACCCAAGCCCTGCCCTGAATGCCCATGCCGCATTTCTGCAAATGATTTGCCGCCTTCTCCTGGCTCCACCTATCTGCTGGGATGCTGGCAATTTCCCACCTTCTCCCTGTGAAGGTCATCTGTGGTCTCAGGGGCCAGGACTGCTTCCCTGACCATTTTCAGCACTCACTGAGTCCCGGTTAGGACAGTGAGGGGGGTGGGGGAGGGTGATTAGTGGCACCATTTCATGCTTGTCGAATGCCGAGATTGGTAACCTTTGTCAAGGTTAATCACTTGAGACACAGACAAGAGCAATAAACTCTTTTCCCAAAAAGAATCCCAAACCAAACCAAACCAAAACTCACAAACGCAAGATAATGTGTGTGGGAACGTATCGGATTCGGGGAGTTTCTGAATAGCTTGAAGTCTGTCTATGGATTCTTTAAGGCAGTGGTTCTCAACCTTCCTCATGCCGCGACCCTTTCATACAGCTCCTCATGTCATGGTGACCCCCAACCATAAAATGATCGTCACTGCTACTTCATCACCGTCATTTTGCTACTGTTATGAATCGGGCGACCCTTGTGAAAGAGTCGTTCGATGCCCAACGGGGTCACGACCCACAGGTTGAGAACTGCTGCCTTAAGGTGTCAAGCCACGGCACACATTACAGGCACACCCCATTTATTGTGGGTAAGCATTGGAATGACTGCTAATCCCAAGGCCAGCAGTAGAAGCCCACCAACAACTCCCTGGGATAAAGACGAGGCTGTCCGTGCCGATAAAGATGGACAGAGACCCATAGGGGGCAGCCAGCTGTCAGAATGGACTTGGTGGCCACAGGTGTTCTGACTTATAAATTGATGGCCGCAGGTGTTCTGACTTATAAATTGAAGGCGCTTGGATGGGGCCGGCATTTCAGTGATTGACTGCTAAGTGAAAGGCTGGCCGATGAACCCAGCCAGACCTCCCTGGGAAGAAAGGCCACGGTAAAGGGCTTCGGAAAGGCCCCAGCCGTTCCGGTCTCACGGGGTCCCCAGGTACAGGATTCAACCTGACCACAACCGTGGCATTGTTGTTGTCTTAACCTACGGATAAAAGCCATTTGGATCAGTTCCGTCCAGTTAAAGGTTCCTTTGACTGGCTCCTTTTTCCCTCCAGAGCGCTTTCTCCTACCCTAACCGGAGAGGAAGCCAGAGAGGTTTTGTTGGCTGAGGGAGGGCTGGGAAGAGGAGTTTTAGGATAACTTCTTTGTGATGTCAGAGTCATCTAGTGGGGGGCTCTGTAGGCCAGAGGGAAAGCCCCCGCAGGTCAGAAGGAGCCTGGGTCCTTGGGGCACAAGCCAATGAACAAACGGGGTTGTGCAGAGATTTACAGGGGAAGCCAGGCAGGGTGTGGGATGCCCACTTACATGGAAAAGTTAATGCTTAGCCCAGGGAGGGTGGTGAGTCATAGCTCTGCTATGCTGAGGGCTGAGAAGATTAAACTGGTTAGTCCCACAGCTGGGGGGGGCAGGACCCTGGAGTTGACTCACTGTCATTCAGCCGGATCAATCCCAATCCCACCGCCTCCTACAGGCCCCCAGCAGGAGAGGGGAGGCATTGGCTGGGAGTGGTTCAGAGTATGGCTGAGGGTAGGGGGTGGGGGTGGGGTGGGGAAGGCTGCCTGGGCTCAAAAGCTAGCCTTGACCTTTACTAATTCAGTGGCTTTGAACACAATACTTAATTTTTTAGTTTTCTTAAACACTGAGGGGTG